CTGAATGTCTCCACTTTATGAGCAACTGAACAGAGGATAGCAAGGTTTTTGTAAAGTGCTCTGTGTATAACGCTTCATCAAGCAGTGTGTGTGTGCGTGTGTGAGAGTGTGTGTGAGCAGCCCTCTGTATGGGCCGTTAAGCTCTAAATGCTGCCTGTATGAAACAGTGTTAAAAGCCCACAGTGTGCATATATAGACTTTCAAAAGATGTGTGTGGACAACATTAAAAGCCCCCTCTGTTTTGCTTCTTGATTCCTCAGTTCCCCGGCATGTATGCGTGTGTTTGTGTGTGTGAATTTAAACAAGAGGTCCACTCTCTATTTTTCCCGGCTGTGTATTTTTTCTTAACCTCTAATGCTGAGTGGGAGGGAAAGCAAAGCCCATCCCGGCTGAAGGATGTCCCACATGAGGAAGGACCTACAGTCATTATCAGCGATAAGGTGCCAGTGTGAGTGAGTCAGTGTGTTATGAAAGCCAATCTCCTCACCCTTGGGTGCAGGAGATTTGTGTCATGGCTGCTTCTGAGATGATTGCTATGACGAAGGTGCTTCCTGGCTGGAAGACAGTGTTTTCTATCACAGAGGAGAAAGGCAGTGAGGCTGAGCAGCCTTTACTAAAGCTTTGTATGACTCTTTGTTGAATTTCTCTTTAAGGGAAGTCCTGTTTTGTCACCAATTTGAAAAACCTTTTTTTATAATAGTACCCATCCTGAAGTAATAATAATAATAATACATGGGATTTGTTGTTTTTGACACCTTTGCCATCTTTGCAGTCAGATTAATCGTTTGAGATTTTTTCAGGTAACCAATATTATTTGCAGAGCCACTTTGCTAAGCTTGTTGCTGTCATGACTTCATTTTCAGACGTTCAGGAGGATTTTTCAAATAACCCTCAGAGGTCTCTTACATTGCAAAGTAATCAAACACGGTGATCAAAACCGTTGAAACACTAAACACTGTGTTTCTTCAATGTTGTTTGGTGCCCACTGAACACTAACGTTTGTTAGATTGTTCTTGTGATTAAGAATGTATGATCCGTACGCCCGATGACTTAAATCCTTCATCCAGTTACAGTTCATTCATAGTTAAAAAAAACACCAAGATCTTAAAAGTGTAGTAGAAGTTTGGCTTGAAACTCGATAACAAGCCCATTTAGGACAGCTTCTGGCCGACAACCACAACTGCTGCTGATTGCACAGAAGGGACATGAAACAGATGTTACCATGATTAAAATGATGGATTTCTCTAGGTTTGAAAATTGTAAAAAAAACACTTGGGATTGGTACACAACCCAACGGAATATAGTCGTTTATAGACATTTTAAGGTGTAAAAGTTAACATAACTAAGAACGTTAGAAGTCTTGCTTTTAAAAAGTACTAATTTGTGATTTGAAAAACATTCAGCTGTAAGCAGGTTCTGGCCTTCAGGCACAGTTTGACACTTAGTTTCAAGACTCACTCCAGATGTGAACCTCAGGAGTCTCTAGAACAGAAATAGCCAAACAGCTCTGCGAAGGCTGCGTATGGATGGGAAAACAAGAGTGGATTTCCTCCTCTGGCCCAACTTCAGCTGCTACGGTTCAGTGTTCACAAAGCAGAAGTTGAGATTGCAAGAATTGAGGGGGGAAAAAAGAACAGTTTGTTTTTGTTTGACACAGCAGTCATTATCAGCTGAGCGTAGGCCTCCACTTACTCCCAGTGACTCATTGTGGTGCAGTTTAAGTGTCCATTAATGGCACGTCTAATAGCAGAACAATGACGTTTCCCAACAAGGTTTGGACTGGTCTGAAGTATTTAAAGGTGATCAGAAAAGTGTTTCCACGAGAATACAGCATTTAAATACACTTAGGAAATAAAACACCAATTCTTGCCTGAAACGATCTCCGGTCTTGCGAGAGGTTCATTAGCTGCTAAGTGGACGGTTCTTTCTAGCTTCAGGATGACACGTCATCCATTTAGTGCACCATGTCTGCTCTAAGAACGGCTTTGATGCCTCTTTTCTTTTTTGATGACTTCGATGATTGCTAATCTTGTTCGTCTCTCCTGGACAGTTTCTCCCCCCTTAAGCCAATTTGTCATTTTTCTCTCCCCCCTTTGCCTGTACGGTGAGGAGCCTGCATTGTTTCCCTTCTGGAGGCTAATCTCATTACATTTCAATTTGCACATGCGACTGCCTGGTGGATGACAGGCTTACCGTTGAAGAGTCTCAACCCCCCTCGGCTCTATACTGACCCCCAATCAGCGAGGCCATTTAACAGGAAATAAGATTATTATCCTCTGTTTTTAGCGCCAGAAAATAAACTACTAAGTATTAATGAGTAACATTAGGCTGTGGAGATGGAGAGCAGATGGAACAGATGGAGGGGGAAACTATGGTAGATGGATAAAGTGGGTTGTTACTTATTTAGCTGATTTATGTCTATAGTCACCTGATCACGCCGCATATTGGATATTATTCCCTTAAGCTGTGTTGTTCCTCATTTCAATGATTTGTCAAATGTATCAATACTTTCTTTATTTTCTTATCTTTCTAGTTAAATCCAAGCTCATAAATTCATGAAAATCACTTCGTTGAATTTTATGTTTTTTTATACTTCATAAAATATTTGGAATATGTTATGTCACGTAACCAAAGCACACGAATGAGACCTATAAAGGACGGCAGTTATGTGAATTTAGGGAAGGATGCAAACGTCTACACAAAGAATCAATATGGTGTTATGATGTTCATCAATTCTTCTGCATGTAAGACAAATTATAATGCTTGTAAAAACAATACAAAAAGATAACATCATTCTAGCAGCTCTGTGAGGATCAGTGATGCTTTGAGCTAGATGTTAGTGTCAGTAGATGTTAGTGTCAGTAGATGTTAGTGTCAGTAGATGTTAGTGTAATAAAACGGATGTTGCACAGGCCTCTTGTTAACCATGTTCACCTTCTTAGTTTAGCATGATAGCATGATAGCATTTGCTAAGCACCAAACACTGAATGTTACAAAACATAATTTTGTTTCTACCAAGTCTTACTTATTGGAAAAAAAATAAGGCTTGCAATAAGCCTCTAGAATAAGCTGAAGATCAATCAAGTTATTCTAATTTCCAATCCATTCAAAAGTTGTTGAGACATTTCGCTCAAAATCATGCATATGAACCCCTTAGAAGTGCTATAAAGGATAAGATAGGGATCACTACAGACATAATTCATCATGGGGAATCTGTACATGTCTATGCCAAATTGTACGCCAATCCATCATTGGGATGGTGAGAGTAAAAACGGCTGGTGACACTAGAGGAGACCTAAAGGCAATCTTAAAAGTCATCAAGACTCATCCTCTGGGTAACATGAATGTACATAGAATATTTCATGGCAATCCATCAAGTAGTTTGATCTGGACCAAAGTGGTGCATTTGACCAACAGATCATCACTGCCATCCTTAGAGCTATGTCACTAGCGTGGCTAAAAATGTAAAAGCCCTAATGTTTTGAAAACGCATATGGATATAGTGAGCCTTAATGCTTATCAACATTGAGACTAACCCTAACCCCCAATTCTAATCCTAACATTTAGACAGAAAAAGGTATGGCTCTTGGAGATACGTTTTGTAACTAACTAATGTCAGCCACAGCTGCAATGCTGGCTGGAGCAGCACTGTTCTTGTCAGCTGGAAGCCTAAGCTTACTAAGCACTCCAGGAGGAAGGATGGCAAACCATTGAGGGCGCTCTGATTTCAATAGCATAAATCATTCTAGATAGATAGGTGGCTTTGGCGCAGGGTAGTCATTTTCAGCGCGAGAGTTTAAGACATATGATTGTTCTGGTGCTAACTTCCCTCCTCCACCATCTTATCCTCTTATGATTATGATCAATTATCCACTTATAATTAGAGCCTGGCAGTAACTCAACTCATGGGCCCTGTCACTTGATATAATAGCCTATAATAATGCTGTCAGTCGCATTTCATTCAGTCCACACTCTCAGGATCTAGCATCGGCTGAAATGTACTGTATACTCCAGTAAGAAATATGTCAGTTTAATCAACAAAGCTGTAACAGAAAATGGCTCTTTTGTAATGATAGTATCGATGAGCTGAGACGGAGAAAAGAATAAAGATGTGATTAACTTTGAGTGATTCTTGTGAGAATATTGGGACTTTGCTGCAAGAAATAATAATAGGTCATAAAAAGGAAATGTGGTGAAAACATCTGACACATTTGGCAGATGTATAACATTATACAACTTAATAGGTCAATTGAAATGACAACAGTTTTTTTTTTAAATTAGTCAACACTGCTTAATTTCTTCTTTTCTTTCTCTTTCTGTTTGTCTCCCCCACCCCATTGAACTCCAGTTTGAGAAATAGAGCAAAGCAAACTGTCTGAAGAGCCACTTCCTGTTGTGTACTTAAGATCCCTGTCATGTGATAGCGTCAGTTGAGGCGGGTGCGTGAGGCCAGTATGGGGAGGGAATATGGTGGCACTGCTGATCTTGCTGATGTGAACACAGCCCCTCACCCCCCCTCCCCCCCCCCACACCCTGATTGTGTAAAGTGTCGACTCAGCCAGTGTGGCGTCAGAGCCCCGAGCCCAGCACAGCTCTTCACAACCACACATGCACGTGCACAGTGGTGGTGCACAATGTCAGCCACAGATACATGGTGGACTTACATGATAATAGCCCATCCATAATGTATACTGATGTAAATCTTTATAAACTCATATAAGTAACAATAGATGCGGGGTCTAAATATGTTGGTCAATACAAAGGGGTAAATGTAATTGTAGTGTAAATCATAAGTTGATTGTGTGTTAGGTGTTTCTAAAGAGGTCATGCACTGTTTTTTGTTATATTTGTAGCTGTGTAGTTAGTGTAGATGTGCATGCAAAAACTAAATGTGTCTGAAAATGGATTACCTTTGGTATATTTCTTTTTTACTTACACATTCTTTGTCTGTTTTCTCACCCCCCCTCCCCACCCCTCTTTCTTCTGTGTTGCTTTTGCAGGTGAAGGATATGCAGTGTGATTGAAGAGAATGGAGAGAAGACAATAAAATGAAGAACACAAGTGTGGCGGAAAAGTACTCAAAACCTCTTTCCACTGACACAATGATGACCTGGAATTAAGAAAGACATTTGTTTGTTCGGACAAAGAGACCATAAGCACGTGTCAAAAATAAATGATTAAGCTACACGCATTGCTTTCTATGGTGCCTGTGGCATGTAGATAGTTTGAACTACTGATTCATTGACAGTGCCAGATGAAGATGGATAGATGGTGTTGCATCCAGTAACTGGAGAGTGCTAAATGAGCTGCTGTGTAAGCAGCTTGATCCCTGGATGATTGAAGGCAGATAACAATTTAACTTAAGCACGCTAGACTTCCCTAGATGTGCAAAAGCAGATCGCAGTAGTTTCAGTTTTTTTTGGACTTTGTGAAAGACCAGGTAGTACAGATTAGTTGGGATTGTACAATGAATCCTAGAGACAGTGTGGAGGTGATGGAGACCCGGGCAGCAGGGAAGGAGAAGCTGGTTGGAGACAAGGTCAGCCATAGAAATGACATTGATGGGGAGGAAGACAAAACCCCAGGGGCTTTTGACTGCAACGTCTGCGGACGCAGCTTCCCGTTCCTCAGCTCTTTGTCACAGCACATGAGACGACACACTGGTGCTCGCCCTTACAAATGCCCCTACTGTGACCACAGAGCCTCTCAGAAGGGCAACCTCAAAGTTCACATCCGCAGCCACAAACTGGGCACCCTCTCCAGCCACCACTCCAATGAGGATGAAGAGGGTGGAGCCGAGGAGGAGGAGATGAGTGTTTCAGAGGGCCTTGATGGAGGTACGAGTCCAACTAAGAGCAGCTCAGCCTGTAACCGGATGATTAATGGGGATAGTGGAGAGGAGAGTCGCAGGAAAGTGCCTGGTAGGAGCCTGAAAAGAGAAAAGCCCGTTACTGACCAGAGGCCTTTCTGTTGCCGTCTCTGTGGCTATGAGGCCTTTCGAGAAGATCAGCTCCTCAGCCATATTGAAAAGGTCCACATAACAGCAGATGCAGATGATGATACCACTGTGAAGGAAGAGGTTGTGCCCGAACCTGATATCGTCCAACCTCAGGGTGATGGGACCTTCCCCTGTGAGACCTGTGGCCAGGTGTTTACCCAGGCCTGGTTTCTGAAGTCACACATGAAGAAACATGCAGGGATCCTGGACCACTGCTGTCGCATCTGTGGACGGCGGTTCCGTGAAGCCTGGTTCCTAAAGTCGCACATGAAAACACACAACACCAAATCCAGGGCACGGTCAAAAGGGGAATCTGCTGAGCCTCCAGCCACCATCAATGACGTAGCTCAGAATCCCGAAGTTGTCACTAGCCACATTTCATGCATCTATCAAGTGTGTTCCAAATGTGGGAACCTGTTCCACAACAAAGAGAGCCTGAGGGCACATGAGAAAATCCACAGTGTCAGCTATGGCAGGAAATCCCCGAGCCAATGCCAACTCAGTGATGATGAGGACTCACCAGCTGCTAAGAGACGTTTCCTTGACTGCTTAAACCTCCAGCCTGTTGAGAAAAAAACTCTGGATGAAGAGGAGAATGAAAAGCTAGGTCAAAGAATCCCAGAGCTAGATCCATTTTGCAGCTACCAGGCCTGGCAATTAGCTACAAAAGGAAGGGTTGTTGAGCCAGTGGAGGCAAGTTCCAAGGGCTCCTATGGGGTAGGAAGTATGGGGGAGGAAGCCCTTGCCGGGGCCGCTGTGGTTTTTGAGAAGGAGAGCAGCCGTTATGTCCTTCAAAGTCAAGGGAAACGTAACTCAGGGCGACGCAGCAGCTCTGGTTTTGGAAGCCATGCTTCTTCAGGGGACCGGACACCAGAGAGCCTCAGCGATTCCGAGTACCGGCCTTCGTCTCGCCAGGAGCGGCGGCGACCATCTGCCTCCAAGTCCAACGAATGCTTTGAGTGCGGGAAGGTGTTCCGCAGTCGTCACCAGATGATCGTCCACCAGCGGGTACACAGGAAGGACGGAGGCAGGGCATCTGTGGGCTACAAGGAAAGAGCTTCAAGAGACGAGCGATGGGGCTCCACCAGTGATCCCGAGTCAGGCTCCCCCAGCCGGCCCAGCACCCCGGGGTATGGGGACTCTCCACCAGCCTCCACCCTCGTGAACCAGGCCTCAGAGATGGGTACGGCAAACTCTGGAGAGACTACAGGTTGGTCTTCTTTTATCTTGTGCTTTTGTTTTGAAACTAAAATCTTTAATCAAAGGCAATTTAAGGGAGCTGAACCTAAATATTACTCATTTGGGAATTGCAGCTTAGTTTCAATCTGTCAGTCACATATTCGGTATGAAATCAATAATTGGAGGCTATAGTGCTGAAGATTCCCTTGATGTTTCATTTTTTGCTTATGACCACCATTGCCAAGTCAATATTCAATCTGTCTTTGTAAGGTACTGACTCAACTTTCTAGCATAAAACAGGTACATGAAGTATACACAGCAGTTTACTAATAGAAGCACACTCTGCAGTCATTTTAGAAATGACTGTAGCCCTTTCCAAGCCTCCCACTGGAGGCCTCTGACTCTGTCACTGTAGTAAACATCTGTTGATGAAATGTGCTTTGTGTAGATGGAGCTCCTCATAACATCAGTGTGTATGGAGAGGGAGCTGGAGCCACCATGTGGCAACATCTTGAAATTACATCAGACTTCAGCTGTTAAGAGAACTACACACAAACACACACATATGGTGAAAACATTTGAACTGCCTCTGAACATTATGTTAACAGCAATCCAATTTGTCAGTATGAAACTAGAGGGTTAACTGAAAGTGCAAGCCTTTCAGTTGCATGTCAGTAGATGAGAGGGCATTTTTGGAATGCCTATCATTTTTTTCACCTTCGCAACCAATAAACACTGCAGAGCAAAAAAAGAAAACCTACCCATGCAAGGAAAAAACACCCATAAACATGGCTTAAATATCTTAAAGGAAGGAATCCTGTGTATACAACGCACCAGAGCTTTCTGGCTTTTGTCTTTTAACTTTCAAACTCACTGAAATCACAGTTAGAACCGGTTAGGATAGTGGATCGCAAACTGAAGGGATAGCTACCATTCCTCCCTGTTAGTACAGACATTCAAAAATAGCTGCAACATTTCTTCAGGCCTGATTGAGCTGTATGCTATTTCAGGTCTTCCTGTGTCAGGAAACCCCCCTCACCCCCCTCATCTGTGTGTGAATTTGTCTTTTGCTCTCTTTTTTATGCCATGAAAATCTGTCTGCACGTTTCCTTGTTCTCTTTGCTGAGCTTGTTTATTGTAAAACAACCAATTATTTGTTATGACACACAATTACAGTCCTGTTCTCCAGCAGTGAAAGGTTTGGTGAACATCCTGGGGTCTAGTTTGAGGAATTAAATTCATAGCAAATAATCGTATTAACTTAATATATACACGATATACAAATCTATCTAATATACTGTATTGGATACAAAACCTGCAATAGCAAGAGAGAAAGAGATATCATCTGATTTTTTTTAAAAGCCATTTCATGTAAAAATGGTTACAGATTCTGTGCATACCAAATGAATATCCTTGTCACGACGGCTTCAGCCCGTCCATCCCTTTTCTCCCTGTCCCCTCTGACTCTTTCCTAATCTCTAAGGTTACCTCCTGTGGCAATTCCACTGTCACTCATCCACTCTTCTTACCATTGAGCCATCCAGGCTGCCCGATGTCTGAGGGATTGGTTATTTATAGAGTCACCTCCCGATGGAGAGGATGCAGGCAATGGGGAAAGAGACACTCAGAGGACGCTCTAGTGGCGAATACTCTGATGTCCCTCACAGACACAGTGCTACTTTTGAGGAATGCTAATGAGAAGTGACAGTATACATGCACACTGAGATTATGGGCATTTAGACAGATCAGTAACAATGTGTTATTGATGTGTTATTATCATTCTCAGTTTAATTCTTAAATAATCAGGATTTTCAATTTGCTTGAAACACTACATACAGGTTTTATGAACTGCTTAATTTGGAAAGTTTAGGGATATTTTGAGTCCAAAACATGTCTTTTTATGAAAAGGAAGACCTCTAATTCACATTTGACCAATTTTGACAATAGCTAATTAAAATGCCTAATGCATATTTAAAAAAACGTTTTCCGAATACTTGTAGCTTAAACAAAATGGTTGCCAAATGTAATACTGCCTCAGTAATCAACTGGGGAAGTTTCATGGTGATAGCTATTGCAATTGATTGTAGTGTCTTGTAGCTTTTTATATTACTCGCTTACATGTAATACACATTTTAGTTTAATTTATTTTTCTATATATTCTGAAGGTATTCCCTGAGGGGTTTGTTGATATAATATACATGGCCTGATTTATATAACATTTACTCCTAAAAACATGGAGAAGAACACTGTTGACAGTGTTTCCTGATTTGTGAAGTTTTCAAAAAGATATCCAAAAATCCCTCTGGAATAATCTTTGCATCACATTTGTCAACAAAATGAAAATACATGTTGAGCCTGGCTTTATCCAATGCTCAGATTTCCTTTACCAAAATGTATCTAAATAAGCACATCCTTAATAAGATAATAGCATCATAATGTGTGTTGCAAAAAAATTGGGAAGATTCATGTCTTTTTCTTTTGTTAAATGACCAATATCAGCCTGATAAACAGGACACATCAGTCCAAGCACCTTCCCATCTAACACCGCCCAGCCCCGGGCGACACCTTGGCAGAGTCTGAGTGTGTGTGTGTTGGCCAGTGTTGCCAACAGGAAGCCAAACGAAAAACAGATGGCAGGTTACTGGTGTTATTGTGAAGAAGAGGGGGGGGAGCCGGGAGTACTACAGCATCTGATCTGTTGGATCATAGGATATTGAAGTGTGTGCATGTATATACTGTACATTCTGGACAATTACATGGTTTTATATTCTAAACCTTTGTAAGCTTTGTCATGTTTTTGATGAAATGTAATGTTAGTATATCAATTATAATGATACATGACATTTATATAGCGCTTTTCCTGGTGCTCAAAGCGCTTATTATTAACTACTTCTAGTACCAACATTCATTGGTTTATTTATATTCTTATTTTTCGAATTACAATCTAGGAGATCTAAAGTGTGTTTGTAACAGCAGTTAAATTCATTCGTAAGAAAGAATTGTTCACAAACGCCATCTTGTGGGGAATTTAGGAAGCTGCATTTCAGGATGAAGTACTACTGTCTTCATAAAGAGAACATATCTGCAATACAATGCAATTCCAGTACAATATTCTTAAGATCTATATACTACTTTTATCAACTTTATCATTTCCAATTTGTGTTATTTATCACAATGTGTTTATTAAGCTATATTGTAATATGATTGTGTAGTTGTTTCACAATTATTATTTTGTTAGCGTTGATTTGCTCACCGTCCTTGTAATAGCCAAAGTACACATTTTATTTCAGAATATATTCACTCGTGAAACTTGAAGGGCATGTGGAGAGCACAGAGCTCCGCCAAGGACGTTTCCATAAGAGAAACATGATGTTTCTGCCCTGAGATTTGCATATGTTCCAAAATTGAATGGTTTATTTCTTGGCCTTTGCCTTTTCGCCAAGATTCATACAAATCAAAGCAGTACTATTTATGTAATAATGCTGACAAACAGACAGTGGTAATGAAAGAGATACATTGCAAAACTGGCCTATACTGCAGCCTGGTGGCTGTTCAACCAAACTACATCTGGATGGAACAATGTAAACCTGGCACAGTAGTAGTAGAAGTACAATATATATCAAGAATATTTCCTTTGCAGTCATTAACCTTTATGTTATCATTCTTTCCTCTACAGATGAGAAGCCTTACGTCTGCAGCCTTTGTGACTTTGTCACCAGAGAGCTGCAGGTCTACTTGACTCATGTTCGTGTCCAACACCCCGCTGCCCCCGGAGAGAGACCCAGCCCTATTCCCAGCCCCTGCTCAGGCAGAGGCACCCCAAGTGGTTACCCCAAGCTGAAGAAAGCTCTCCTCCAGGGGATGAACAACTCAGCATCTCCTCCTGCTTACCTCTCAGCTCGATCCTCCCCGCTCGATCCCAGCATGACCCCTGTTGATCTGTGCATGAGGGCCAATAGCTGCAGGGGCATAGCCTCCCTAACCCAGGACAGGAAAGGCCTCCCAAACCACAAGTGCTCCTTCTGCTCCCACTCCACCCGCTACCCCCGAGGTGCTCTGGATGCACCAGACTGTGGCTCACCGCATCAACAGCAGTAGCTCCAATCTTGCTCCGAAAATGGGCCCTGAAAAATTGTTCCAAGGGCTCCAGGGACAACTTATTATCCCCCAGGAGACGCACTGGTCCCCCGCCAATGCTGGAGGGGAAGGAATGCCCATCGCTGCCTCCACTGATGCGTGCCCAACGCACCCAGCCTCCAACCAACTCTATCGAGGTTCCAAAGAAGAGCAAGCCAGCCAGTCAAGCAGCCATGCCATTATCCTCCTCCTCCTCAACCCCCTCTTCCTCGACCTCCAGAGTCTCCTCATCCACCTCGGGGACCCAAGCAGTGAGAGTCCCCGTCCGGCCTGGCAGCAGCAGCAAAACCAGCAGCAGTGTCAGACACATGGAGGACCAGAGTCATCAGTCTCGCTTCAGACCCAAAGTGGATATATACCCTCGGGGCGGCTCGTCGTCTTCCTCCAGCTCTTTGGAGAAAAGCACCGGTGCCGCCTCACGCTCCCCAGCCCCGAGCCCCAGCGCAGCTGCTGCATCCCGGATCTCTGAGCGCTATGTGATGCCTCAAGAGGGCCTCGGTTTCATGCTGTCCAGCAAACATGGCCTCGCAGAGTACAGCCGGGCTAGAGGTTCCCCTCATCAGCCGCTTCCCAACGCCCACGGCCAGAGCCGGGTTAAAGCTACGAGGCCCAGCACCATCACCCATAGCACCGCTGCAGGACACAACTACGGAGCCTACCAGGCACATGGGGGCACTTTGCTGAACTCTTCCTCCTCCTCCTCCTCCTCCTCCTCCTCTTCTTTGCCTTCAGAGGCTCGTGGAGATGTCAAGCAGGAGCCAATGGCAGAGACGCCAGAGACGCCAACAGACATTCTCGGCTTCCTCAATAACTACAGCCCCCATGAACTGGCTTCTCTCTACCACCGCTGGGGGGCGGCTAATGCACTGATGGATCCCACTGGTGAGGAACTACTTTACTACTGCCATTTTTGTTCAATCTGTTGACTTGTTGACATTTATTTTGTTAGTTTAAAAAGTGTTTGGTAACTATATATATAAAACAATTTTTTGTTTTCATATGTTCTTCTTTCACTATATCCTGACAGTTCTGTATTAGACAGATCAAGAAGATGATGTTTCTCGTCCTCAAAGCAAAGGAGTCTCTAGAACTCCGATCAATCTGTCAAACTTAACACTTTGATAAACAGTAACTAAAATGTCTGGTACTGTTTGGCTGTAAAACCACAGGTTTGTTCAAAAAGGCGGAGCCAAAACCAAGCATTGCCCATTGTTTGGAGCAGACTGTTATTTTACCACCATACAGTTCAATAAAATATCTTTCTAAAAGGTCAAACACAGGCATTGCAGTACCAGAAATGTGATTCATCACCTCCGCCTAGTTTGACAGTTTGATTGGAGTTCACATGCAGTGCTAGAGACTCCTTGGCTCTGATTGGTCGTGCTATTTTGGTGCAGATGAACCTTGCAAATGCCATTAGGGGAACTTGGGTTAGAAAGGAATATGATTTTTTGTTTAAATCATTCACCACTGTCAGGATATAGTGACAGTTTCACCAAATACGACAGAACGTTATTTTGTTATAAAGTTACCAACTGTAGCTTTAAATGCATGTAGTACCACCATTAGGAACAAGCCTTCTTGGTTAGCGTTCTGTGGCATCCCTCATCACCAGCTGATATACCAAATGCCCAGAGGGTCTTAGCTTTGGAGGAAATGCCAAATGTCAAGAGTTGTAGAGAAATGTTTTCCAGTGACGGAGTATTTTAGTTTTGAGCTGTCTTGAGTAGAATGCCCAAACTTCAAAGGCTAAAAAACACGATGGCCGCAATCACGTAGTTCCACACCTAAAGTATCTTCAATGAAGTATACACATTTATCCTCTCCAACACAGGCCAACGCTGCCTCTCACACTAACTCGCCATCTGGCAGAAAGTGATTGACAGACACACGTGGTGCTTGGTTCTGACAAGGTTTTGAATAATGAAGAGGTTATCCATTAAATGAGCACATGTGTGTGCTTGCATGTTTGTCAGACATGATAAGAGGCTATATCTGGGGCAGCGTGTGTTTGTGCATGTCTGTCCATACAGTATGTGCTTGGGTTTTTTAGATGCAAGTGTGTATCTCTTCTTCTTTTTTTTGTATGTGAGAGACGTGAGAGAACCTTTGCTACTCTCAGGTCTGCGAGGCATGCCTAGTCTCCAGCTCCACTCTCCCAGAAAGCTGTCACAAACTGTTTAGGTCACGGCTCTGCCTGACGAGAGACTCGCACAGATGCGAATGGAGGGAGGGCGAAATGAAGAGAGAGGGAAAATAAGAGGCAGGGAGAGAGATGAGACAGAATAATTACCCCACCAGCTGCTTTGGAAATGGTCATTACCGAACATGCGTATTATTTTCCCATTTTCAGTTGTGTCTCTAAGGTCAAGTGGGGCTGTGCGGAGCCAGGGGTCAAAGACAACAGCCCGAGAGCCGACGCATGACATCGCTGTCACCCGTCCAGGCGCATATCGTCACCACCCGCCTTAGCCCTTTGAGTCACATGCTATAAAGTGACCTTTTTTGAAGTCTTTCTCCCGTTTTCTCTTTGTAATACGCGTACGAATGTGTGTCCGCTTGCGTTTTCCATCCAGCACTGTCTTGTCTTTCATTAGTGCATCAGTGAGAAGGGCTGGCGGCCCGCAGTAGGAGTAGAGTATCCAGAGGCCAGCAGTCGGGCTGCCAGAGACACTCTCTGTCACCTCCTCTGCCTCCCTGTCCTGCTGGGTCCCTCCATCCACACGCAAACATACACACAACCAGCGGGCACTGCCCAGGTATATGCCAGGCTGAATGCTAACGGTGCTGATGCATCTGCCAGGGGTCTGTGCAGTAGGCGTCCCCCTCACAGAGAGCACTCACTGACCTCCAGGTCTTTCATCTGTCAGCAGGAGAGGTCACAGGAGAGCATTAGTATGTGTGTTGCAGTCTCAAATGAAATGCACATTTAGGTGCCCACCAGAAAGCTTTATTATATGAAAGCTGACAGGTCCTTATCAATCATACCTCAAGTCAAGAATTGTAATTTCTTAAATACAGTTATTTCCTCAACAGTTTTCTTTATGCTCAATGGCAACACTGTATGCATGTTGTCTGCTTTACCAAACAAAATCAGGCTTCATGCCCCATGACTTTCTTGTGGTCACTTTCTTATACTGCCTCATTTTAGTTTAAAATGATCATTTGAGAAATCACATGGTTTTGCCGTAGTTTTTTAATGTTTTTATTTACCCTTAATGCAAAATCAATGTAGCATTAAAAAAATATAACCTACTCATACTTAATAAACTAAACTAAACTAAAAAACACTTATTTTGTTTTGTATGTTGACCAAATATTGGGACCAAGATACATAGTCTACTGAGCAGGGTAATCAACAATTGATAGATCAAGTGCTGGTTCATTGTGAATTACATTTCATTAGCCGCCGCAAATATCCTTTACATAGGCCAAATGTTATCCAGGTAATCTCACCCCTAGGTTGGCATTTCAATAATTCAATAAAGAAATGTGCACACATGCTGATATACATCTGCAGTAAACTGAGTGTGGCTCTTTTAGAACATTTTAAATCAAAAGTTGTTACCGGCAAGTAACGCAATGATGTCTTGTTTGGATATGTGTTATAGCATTAAAACATGGTTAGCTGTCTTATATTTGTCATATATACTTGTGGAAATGTTAATATTATATGAGGTTCTTGACTTGAATGTAACATTTCTGAAGTTTTCCTTAACTCAATGTTTATCTGTATCAGATAAGAAAACTGTAGAGCAAGCTTCAAGATTGTTTTAAAGTTTTGCATAAATACTGACACTGCAAAAAGTTGGCTTTCACTAGCTTCTAAAAGACACAAACTGAGAGAAGAATTTCCTAATTTCTCATGTACTCACGCCATGTCTCGCGAGTCAATTCATCAAAATTCAACAAGTTTCTTTCCGCATTTAAGGCCATTATCGTGTTAATCTGACGTGCGCATGTAATGGGAGTGTTCTGTCATTCTGTGTGTGTGCAGCCAGTCTGTGCCTCTCTTTCCTCTTTTGGACCAAACACACATATACAACTCTTGAAACACACACACACACACATGCAGACATACACACCTGACATGTGACACACGGGCAGCGGAGCGGGCACATCACAGCCGGGGCGTTTTAATTGCCTGTAATTTATGCGGTGTGTGTGTGTGCTATGTGTGTCTGGCTGTCAGACTCTGAGATGATGCTGTGTGACAGCTGCAGTCCAGCCCCTGGAGCTAGCCGCTCATAATGACACATTAGACATACTAATGATGCCTGAGCAAGTCCACTACCACTGACGCTACCTAGCTCCACCGCTGCTGGGAGCCAGGCTCTGTGCTCATGTTCACCCACTCCCTTCTCTCTGCCCGACGCTGACCTTTACGTCGTCATTCAATTTGAAAATGTATTCTGCCTCGAAATAAACTGATGCTGAAAGTTCACGTTTTCCATCCCTCAGAAGAAAGAAAAGTCACACATAAATGCTCACATTCATGTACTTTTTTTTTTTAAGCGGCAAAACGGCTCTGCGCTGACTTTGTGTTTTTTATTGAGAACGCTACCTGCTCTAAATTGTCTTAACCCTAAAAGTAACAATTATTTCAACTTTGACCTTGTTCACCTCTGACTTTTCGGTGCAACCACTCAGATGACAGGTGCTAAGCGGCGCAAGCTAGCAAGGGGAGGTAACTATAGAAACAAAACTTTACTGGCTGTTTTCACCGCAAGGCTCTGCGCCCAACGACGCGGTGAGCAAAGAGCTAATCGCAAGAAAATGCAGCACTTAGGTGTTTTAGGATTAGACACTTGTGGGTAATTCACAATCAAACGCATTGTGGCTGCTAAATGCTACATGAATTTTGCATTAATTGCGATCGCAACATGCCTCATCTCAAGGTCCGATCCACAAAAGAGATTACACAAACGATATATCAACACAAACAAAGAAAATATTGCGTGTCCACTGACAGTACAATATATTTGTAAGCATCTACATAATGGGACAAACAGTGTTATTGTTTGCCAACAACAAATAAGAACCACTTTTGTCCCACTCTAATGATTGTTTTGGGCATTATATAGTGCAAAGTTCCCTCGCAGAATTCTGAAACTTTAATCAAATATAAATCGTAAATGTATTAAAGGAAATATCATATATAAATATCTTGTCTTGCCTGTGTCTGCTAACAGTGCATACCATTCATTTGAATCCTATTGTACCTCTGTTTCAACCTCTAACAATTTGAACCTCTGATGTCCTGCGTTTCTCTGTCCTGTGTGTTTTAGGGATGATGAGGTCTCTGATGCGGCAGGGACAGTATTTCTGCCACGAGTGCGGGAAGAGTTTCAGTCAGCCCAGCCACCTGCGTACACATATGAGATCCCATACAGGTAAACACATCCACACTGACAGACACACAAACACAAGAAAGACAGACTGCACGTGAACACGTACTTCAACTGGATCAACAAGATCATGGAAATGCCTCATAATCAATATTTCTTATTCCACGTAAAGCATAACAATTGTATTCCCTGAAACTCCCCCACTGTAGGCTTAAATAAATATCATAATAATGGCAAATTAAACTCTATCAAATGAAAACGTATTTGATTAAGGTGTCAAAATAATAAGGAAATTAGCTTGATACCTTTAGTTTTACAGGGAAATATGAATGGTTTTATATTATATGGGCATTCACATTGGTGAATGTCGGAATCTTCGTAAAAACTGTTAATGAGCCCACTTGGTATGTTGGTATTTTCCATTAAATAGGACCCTAAGTGTAAGGACTACAAACAGAACAATCAAGTCTTTCAACATGAATTTACAAAAGTGTATACGCAGTAACTAAAAGAGGCTTTGGATGAGAACTGGTTGAGTTAGGGTTTGTAGGGACCCACTGAAATAGTTCAAAAAGGAAAATGTATGCCGGACAAAAATCTTAGCAAACAAGAAACAGCAAAAACAATGAATCATACAGCATTTAACCTGCCGATCCACCATGTAAGCTACTTGTTATTCATGTATTTCTAGATGTTCCCACTCTTTTGGCCACTCCTTCAACAGTCAATCATTCCCGTGCCACCTGTGAACACACACGTCATCGCCCTCGCAGCTAGTTATCCCCCAAATCAACGCTCACATGAGATATAGAGAATATATGCAAGGAGATTCACATTCCAGACAATATTTCATCATCTGACTCTCCATACGTCAACCACGTTCCTGCATTCCCCGAAATAAATCAAAATGGATCTTTTTGTTCAGTTGAGTGTGACAGGCGGTCTGTGAGTCCTCCCCGCCCTGGGCTGGGCAGCTGTCTCTATTTTTTTAAAGTGAAACATGATGTGCTCCGGATACTGACCTGTGACAAATTGTATACATTATTAATCACATGTCAATTAGAGAGATGGAATTGCGCATTCTAATGAAGCAGAACAGCATTTGTCCACGCCAACCTTATGAATCTATTTGCATGCGTCCCAATGCCATTCACTAAACAGCTTGATTTAGACATTCTGCCTTTTCCTCCACTTCCTCCTTCTCCTCTTTACTTTCCCTCCGTGCACTTACATTTCCTCTCCTCCCGTCCTTTCCTTTCCTCTCGATTTGTCCTCTCCCTTGATTCTTTTGTTCTGTCTTCTTTACACCCATCTTCACTTTGTTTGTCTTCCTCATCATTTCCTCTGTTCTCACCTGTTTTCCTGTCCTCTTTTCCTCCCATGTTTCCTCTCATTTATTCTGCACTCCAGTTCTGTTTTCCTCTCTTGACTCCTCTCCTTTCTTCTCCTTTTGTTTGGTTTGATTCCCCTGATCCTTCCATATGACTTTTTCTTCTCTCTTCTTCCTGTCATTTTTCTACTTTCCTCTTTTGTATCATTTCCACTCCTCTTCCCACCTATAACCTCTGCTCCTCTCTTCCATGTTCCTCTTATCTCCTGTTCCCTTATTTACTTTCCTTCATTCCTTTTCTCGTACCTTTCATCTCCTCTCTTTTCCCATTTGTCTGCCTTCCTCCCTCTCCTGTCCTGTCATGTCCATCAGCCGTACGGGCAGTGATCACAGTAGACAGTGAGATAAGTAGCTTCTTTATAGAGAGTGTGAATGATATGTGGCACAGCCAGTGATTCTAAGTGACAGAGGCCAAATGGTAAGTGATGCAGCGGCTCAGCTTCCCCCCAAGCTTTGCTGTAAACACACACACAGAGCGCATTAACACACACACACACACACAGTCCCATGCATAAGGGTCTGTAAACACTCGCCAAAGCTGTAATTAATGTTGTCACCGACGGTTGTCTTCAGCACGGACGTGCACACGCAGAAAAGGCCAGCCACCCCGAGGCCTCTATTAACATGCGTCATATTAAATCACTGACTTGCCTCCACCAGGTTCCATCACCATCATCACCACCATGATCACCATCACCATCACTGCCAGCCCCCCCCCCCCCCATCTATTAGCAAGGGCGCTGGTGGCTAATGTGTGCGGATGGTGGTGGACGGAGGAAAGAAATTGCTTGTGTGAATCTGGTAGAGCTTTTAACCGAATGCCCTCCTCCTCCCCCTTCCTCCCCTCCTCCCCCTTCCTCCCCTCCTCCTCCTTCTCCCCCCACAGTTGGGTATGATTTTAACGGACTCCACAGAGGTACTGACGCTCACACCACCGCTTCTGAAGCTCCCAAACAAGTATGTGGCACCATGGCTAACCACTGGGCTCCCTCATTGCTTATGCATGTGTATTGTTATTATTGTCTCACATCAGCATGTGTGTCTGTGCACCCTTTTATGTGTTTTGTTTTTTTCATGTGCACCTGGCATTAACACCTGGCATTCTCCCATGCTGCTGGATCACACCTGACAACAGCGTGTGTATCCAGTAAAACACTTTACAGTTGTCTCATTGAAACACTTGGTGGTTATTTTAGTAAGTCAGGAAAAGGTAGCAGATGCTTTTAATGTCACTTAAACAAAAATAATTGTACTTCTTAAGATGGCGATTTTTCAATTAACACCTTAAGTGCTGACATCAGATACTTGCAACTACAGAAGGTCTTAGAGATACACCCATAAATACGTTTTAAAATATATTAAGACATAACCCACTCGCACAAACACACACATGACCCAACACATTATCTCCCCACAAGTTACACCTGTAGATTGACCACACATTTATATAACTGTTAGCCGTCAGAGTGGTGCAGCTTTTACGCTTTCTTGTAGGCCGAACCAGAAGTCAGCATAGCAAGGTCCATCTTTGTCAAGAACCAATGGGATTGTTCCATCGTATTTTGGAATATTGCATAAAGTAAGACCTTTGGCTAACAAACGTTTATGATAATTCTCCACATATTAACACCACTTTTGTTATATTTGAAGCATAATGCAATTGCCAGAACTAAAGAACGTTAGGCTATAAACAGACTGCACCAAGGTCACATCAGCACCGCTACGCTGAAGGCAGACTTGTGTGGGGCGTGATGATGTTAAGCAGCCTCATTTGGTCACTTTGTCAGTAACTGTTTTTATAATCGAAAAAATGTTTGGATATTCATGAGTGGGGTATTTCTCTGACGTCGAACAAAACGTGTCCTAAGCTTGTGTTAGCCACAAACCTTATTTCAGGCATAAACAGTTGACTTTGAGACGAGGGAACTGGAAGTGGTAAGATGCTCACTCAATTATGGGACTCATTCCATCACCACTCAGAAAAAGTATAAATGTCTACAGATACATGTTTCAAACAAAGATGTGCAAACACATTCCCTGCTTTGATGTCTTTAAGGAGTTTTAGAGTCAGTCAACGAGACAGAGGAGGAACAGAGGAATACATCTGTTCTGCTTTGACATTCGAATAGAGCTGGGTTCTACGCGCTGCGCCTCCATCTTAATTAATCACACCCACACCCAACATGGACTCAGATTTACCGCACACTATGAATGATGGGAGCAGGCACGGCGGAGGGGTCCAATTAGATGTAGTGTTGACGCTGCTTTACGGTGACGATAACCTTTATTATAATGTAGTGCAGCGGTCCCGTCAGCCATGTTTCCTCGCAGGACGATGTCGTGGAGGTTCTCGCTTTCTTCTCACGTGTCGCCCTCCCCGTCTCTCCAGCTGTTTTTTTTTTTAGATTTTTGTTTGATTAATTATACCTTTTTTTTTTGTATCTCCACCCCCCCTTTCCTATCTTTCTCCACCGTCTGATGATGTATGATAACAGCTATATTTCCCTGTTTCTTCTTCAGGGAGAAAGGTGCGGGAGGGGCACGGGGAGTCATTTGTTTTCCCGCTTTGATACTCTTCCATTTATCAAAATGATAATTAGGTGCAATTAAATGGCAATCTCATTTGTTTTGTTCAGGTGTGTGTTGCTTATTTTTTTATAATTATTTTTCCTATTTTTTTTCCCGCCGAGGTGTCTGTGCCATTGTAGGTCAGTCTAATTACAAGAGAGTGTACGGGGTGTGTGTGGAGTGTGTTTGAGTGTGTGTGGGGGCATAGGGTGGCCCTGGTGATTGAGAGGAATACAAAAAGACGAAATGACAGACAGGGGAAAGAGAAAGGAAGTCCATCTGGGTCAGGATAGAAAAGCAAAGTTAACTTTCTAAGTGAAATTAGATGTCAAAAATGAACCGTGAATGCTGTTCCTATCCAATAATAAGCCCTATTTCTAGCCAAATGCCTTCATGTCTCTTGGTTTATGTTTGTCTGTGTGTTTTTCCCCCCTTTCTTTTCATTTGCACTACAGCAATACTCATCCGTGTGTTACATCGTTGTCTTGTTTAATCTGTATTCTCAAAAAGTCTCTGTGTTGTGTCCTTTCTGGCTACCATCTGACCTTTCAACTTAAAGTGTGTATTGTGTGTGTTTTCCCCAGGGGAGAGGCCATTCTGCTGCCAGCTCTGCCCATACCGAGCATCTCAGAAAGGGAACCTAAAGACACACGTCCAGAGTGTCCACCATTTGCCTTTTGACAACAGCCAGTACCCCGACACAAGGAGTCTAATACTGAGCCAGGAGGAGCAAGGAGCGCTGGCTGCCAAACACACACCGACGCCACCACCACAACAAGAGTAACCCATCTGGACTGAGGCTAGTCTATAACACCATTCCTAAAAATGAGAGGACTGGAAGCTGGACCCAAGACTCATGATGGACTTTTCAAACCTCTCCTTGCCACCCATCACCCTTTAATGAACTTAGACACATTTTCTACAATGAAGGCTAGTAGTTTTCTTTTTTTAAATTTGAAATAAGAAGGTGGTTAAAGCTGTGCTAGGCAATTTTGAGGAGTGTCTTATCTACTTACAACAAATAATTCAGCAATATCTTCACCAGAAATCGATATTTTGCTTCTTTAAATTGACAACAATTAGCAGGTTGTGTTTAGTTGACATCACCTTAAATGAATTCTGAATATAGAACTCCCTGAAAACACAAAGAGTAACCTCTCGCTGCCATCTCAGAGGTACAAACCGATGTCACCCTGTGCAGCTTTACAAGCAAAGCAAAGTTGTAATAAAACAAAGCGGAGAAACTGAACTTGAATGCAACTGCTAGCTTTCTGAATCAAGGACTATGGCATTGCATGGCTGCTGTAGTTATCTTTCCCTTTCTTTTTCTGCTTCAGCTTTATTGTAGAAGAGGTTGTGCATTCCTCAGGACACCAATCATCAGAGCTGAGAGAGAAGACGCTTCACAATTGATCTACAGTCAATTGACGCATTGCATGTTCTTTCTTCCTCTGGGTTTATGAAGATCTAGACTTGCATCTGTCTGTGTGAATGTGTGTGTGTGTGTGTGTGTGTTAAACTCACTTCCCTCCACTCCAAAGTGTAATGTTAGCAGTGCAGTGACCACTCTAAGGCTGTGTAGCTGATGATTAGAAGGAGAGAGAGAGGTAGGATTAAAGGCAGAAAGAGAACGCTAATGGGGGTGTCTGCTTTAGTGCTCATTAAAAAGAGTGTGCGTTTTTTAATAGCCAATATAAATGAGCGTACCATTTTTTTTATGGCCGTTCAATTATGGTCCATTTAAGAGGAAGGGACTGAGTGGAGGCAGTTTCCCTCCATAACTCCATCAAATTAAGGAGTGTTTCCGACACTTCTGACTTTGAGTTAGACCGACTACAAAACAGTAGGGATGACAGGAAGACGCTCGCTCGCTGTGGATCGCACAGAATAAACTCTTGTGCTATTACAAAAGAGAATATGGTAGTGCTAAGTGTTAGCTAGTGAAGATGCATCTTCATGTCATGCTTCTAAAGGGTAACACAGACCTTTTTGGCTTAAAGCTTTGGTATCAAAAGCAAGCCAGTCTCTCTGGTTAAAAGCCTGTGGCACAGAGTTTTTAGCACCTAAGGGGCAACAAGCTATTTAAATAAATACTTCCCCCTCATTAAGACCATTTGCAGATCAGTTCATCAGCCTGTGTTATCTTCAATACTTTAACAAAATGTTTTCTTTTCATGCCTCATGAAGTTATTTATTTACAAATGCCAGTTTTGCCCATATTGGGAATAATGTATTCCTCTGATTAGGTAGATTATCTTCTACACAAAGTAAAGGTTTATTTCTGTGTATTTTTTACTATTGTAACATAGTGAAAGGTTCTACCTTTACAGGGGTCTCAACATGAGTCAAATGAAACTATTTCAGAAGCAAAATTCATCTTCTCATATCAATCTCGGCAAAAAAAGGAAAGAAGCGTGTTTCCTAAAATATCTCAAACTATTCCTTTTTAAACTTGAAACAACCAGAGAGCAGAGCTTCTTTTGCTACCAAACATTTAAGCAGACTAAACGAGCCGAACTCTCACACTGTCGGCCTCTTGCAGGGTGATGTGAAGATTTGCATTCTAGCAGGAAAAGAGTGATGAGGTTAGATAAAGAGGGAGAGAGCAGCCAGAAGTCAGGAGGTCAGGAGGTCAGGCTTCCAGAGAGTTCAGGTACAGGAGATGGAGACATGTTGAAGTCTATTGAATTGTAGAGCCGTCACAGCCTTAACACTGGTGGGTGTGCATTGGTGTGTGTGTGTGTGTGCATTCTCAGTCCTCTCTGTACTGTATAAGAGGTTGACTTACCACTTCTGTGTACTCCAGCCTTCCTCTAGATGCTTTCTATACTAGCCTACCTCCTCTGCAATAGAAGTGTTTTTAGTTTATTGGCTGGTGGAGTAGGAGGACATGCTCTCTTTATGTCCTGGGCTTGTTTTGTATCTCTGTAAAAGCCATGCATCGACCATATAATGTATAAAATAAGTGTATTTAGCCACCACGAAGTCCCCCCTTCCAAGTTTAAAACCTTGTGTTTGAAATGTAGGCCATGGCAATAAGTTCTTTTGGATCCAGAAGTGATGATACATTTTGGATGATCCATTGCTATATATCCTGATTGACAGGTTGTTGTATCACAAGGTAGCCAAGCCCTAAAGAGTACTCTGTTTTATCTTTTATTTGACTTGAAATGGGAACATACCCTACCCTAAAATAATTAGGGTAGGGTCGTTTTCTCATAGACTTCCATACAATTTGACTTATTTTTGGAGCCAGTGGATTCGCCCCCTGATGGTCTTTACACATAATGCAGGTTTAGGCACTTCTGCATATGCCTGACTTTCCAGACCCTGAGGCTACGTCCACTTCTTTTATACAGTCTATGGTCTTGCCACGATGGGGAAAAGAGATGAAAGCAAGGCAGTTGAAAGCGAAATTACACAGCAAGAGTTGAAATGTGGAGACATTTTGTACGCATAACGTCAAAAATCAAAGCAGTTAAAAGATATCGGAACGTAAACAGTACTATACTTCCCATCTATTTGAAGACCTCAGCAGTTTTTCCCTAATGATGAAATGGTTGCTATTCCAGTGGGTTGTTGAGTTATGCTTACAGCGTTGTGTGCTTGAATATGCCTAATCATACACAAATGTGTGTATTGAGGGTGTGGGTAGTGAAAATACTTGAAACGGACACTCTAGCCTTCGAGGTAGTGTAGTACTAATACCAATGTTGTACAGAATTCCCTTTAAGATTAACTCCTCAGTGATGAATTTGTACTCCGAAGTGTGACTTAGAAAAACTTTGAAGCAGGAGTGAGTGTATGTAATATAAAACTGTCTATCTGTAATCCACTCTTACCAAACCCTTATATACAGCGGTAGAAACCAAATGGCATTACTAGTGCACTTAGACTAGGTTACTGCTTTAACCGTTCTCATTTTGTCCAATACTAGCTAAGGTTTCTTTGAGAATGTCTTTTTAATGGTGCCGGCTAACACACTTCAATGTCACTTGGGGTTTAGAGGCTTTTTTGTTAGGATGTTTCCATAGATTTCTATTGACAAATGATTAGTTCTGTGACGGCTGCGTGGCACTGCTTTTTAGCGTTGTTTCCTCACTGAAAGTTGGATAATTCTAGGTGCAGCAGTGCTTATTTTTTTCATAATAAAGATGTAAGAGTGTGTTTTTAATATTTCTCTTTACTAAACTGTAGGATTTGTTCAGTAGCTAGCCATGGCTGCCCTCCCACAGGGGCTGGCATGTGTTGTTCTTTTTTCTTTGGTTGGGTTTTTATCATGCCTCTTAAGTTGTATTATTTGTGTCCGTATTGCTTTTTTAATTATTATTTGTTATGAACTTCATGATTAATTTACCTTAGAAGAAATTATTATTCCAAGTGTATTTGGTTGATATCTGTATTTATTATCACTTCAAAAAGGATTAGAGGACAGAGGCAGACAGCAGCGTTTGTTTAATTCGATTTTTTTTTTTTCTGGGTTGTTTTTTTGTTTTTATACCGTGTAGTTTTCATGCCAGCAAGCCGGTGTGAAAGCTCTACCTCGTCTGAGCCATTCTCAGTTCTGTTACACTTTTGTACATCATTTCAAAAAGATGTAATGTCATGTCCACAATAAAAGACACACAAAATGGCACCTGTTGGCTCTGTTTCATCTGCCTTTGCTTGTTTCTTTTAAATCTACCTCAGCCACTGTGACTGAACACATCCAAGTTTAGATGAAAAAGCTTCACAGATTTGCAAATGTTATTTTTTCCCTTTTACTCAGACTGCCAATGTGGAATTTACAAAGAAACGTTCAGTGCAACATCTATAAATATTGACAAGATTACTGAGAACTGAGCACATTTTGCATTCTTATGTTTCTCTCACAAGGCTTATTCTCGCCATGGGCGCTCGCTGTCATCATATGTTACTTTCAGCAGTGTGCACACAAGCTGTACTGGTATTTCAATCCTAAATATTCATATCCACTATTTCTTCCTGACTGTAGCTACAGTCCAATGTTTATCCTATGTATCTTTTCTCCTTACCCAGTCCAGACAGAGGCAGATTAGATTAACTGGAAGCTCTTTATGACCCGATTCCGATTTAATGATATTCAAAAATGGTTGCGCAGTGTTAAGAACAAACTAAATATACAATGGCAACTGGCAGGAATGAAGTACAGCAGGAATTACAACGGAAAAATAGAAAGATCATAAAAGTGCACTCAGCAGAGTACAGATCCACTACTTGGTGTGTCTCCCTTAACCATTACATAAGAAAAAGAGTTGAGTCCCACTCAGTTGACCCTTCTTGCTCCCTCAGTTAAGATGACAGCGAAGATAACAAAAACTGGGATTTTATCATCTTGTATCATACATAACTTAAGTTGAACATAACATACATGTATGAGGTATGGAATTAACATGCATATGCTCCAGTTCAAAGTGAGTCCTGGGTTGCGGTCGAATTGTCCAAAAATCAGCTCCTATCGTCTTTTCCTAACCACTATTCCTTAACCTCTGTGTGAAACGTCACAGGGTTAAGTAATAGTGGTTAGGAGAATTCAAAAGTACTTAAGAAAAGACGACAGGGCTTCAAGAGAATCCGACTGCACTTACACTATCCGATACATTTATGACGCGCCAGCGGATATATTATTAATGTGCGTCTGCTGTGGGGAAACTACAGTTTTCCGTAAGCGCACATATAAACTTTGCACCGTGTGCTATGGTGTTGTTCTATGCAGGCTTTATGAACGTGGACAACAGTGACAAATATATTCTTCATTAGGTTGGACCTAATCCCAATACGTTTGATTGTATGAACATATTTTAAAATAAATACAGTTGTATTTATTATAAATAAAGGCCTTAACATCTATCACTGTGTATATCACCATTCACACATGTTAAAAACTGTTTAAGAAACCCCATACAGCTCAGTAAACACTGTGAAATGTTGACTTTATTTGATCATTCTACAGCGAAAAATGTAACGTTCATATTTCTCCTTTTGATTATTATAGTGTTGAACATTCAAAACGAATCACTTTCTCAAGTTACGGCATAAGTTGTCAAATGCTTAATAAGCACCGTAACTTTCATAATACGCATTTCTCTGTCACGATCGGTTGTTTCCTTGAACGGCCGAATGTTGTTTCATGGTAAATGTTGCGGCTGAAAGGTATTGTGGGACAGGACTTTCTCTCTCTCCAAGGTCCAGTGTTTCCTAAGCTAAAGTAGGTTATAAAGGAAGTATTGAAGCTAATTTCCTATCATCTAGAGTAGTCACTTCACTCCGTTAGGAACCTTCCTAAGCTAAACTGACAATTCGAACGCAACCCATTTCTAGTTTTGGAGCCAAGACAAAAGTCAAAATATGACCTGCAACAGATCAAAGGCTTGATATGCCTTTTGCTATTGAACAGTAATACAAATGATGTGACGCCTGCAAGATAGTTAAGGCAGTTAACCTTAAACCTCAATGCTACAAACACACCTGACATACATCACTCTCCATATCATCTACCGAGCGCACCCACTGCAATGCCCCATCATCACCCCCACATCCACCTGCAGGCTTTGACTAGCGGGAATATGTTAAATCATCCTGTTCCGTATTGTAAAAAACATTTTGATTATAAGTTGTCTAACTGATATGTGGTCGAAAATTCAACTGCACTCCAAAAAGCAACTAGTTGAATTACAAAATTGTCAACATGAAAAATGGCTTCCATTTTCTTTAACATTGTGGCTATGATTTCGCTCGACACACAATACCAATGACCCGCAGAAGAAAGTGAAAGTGGTCATGATTTATGAAGATGAGGTGAAAATCAGATCAGACATAAGCCACACTGCAAGCTGTTCCCTTTCATAGCGTGTGACAGGTTTGATGGATCGCCACTTTGATGTTCGTCCGGGGCCCGTTGGCACCTTGATGTCCGTGTGTGGCCGTGTGGTTGAAGTCGAGCTGCCAAGCAACGGTGATGAGAAACCCTCACCCTTCAACAGCGAGGGACCACCTAGGGATTGGTTGCTACTTTGCCAGTCTCTTTCATGTTGCGTGTCTATGTGCACCATCTGTCTGTCGGTTTGAGCGACAGGTGAATGACGGGTTCCCTCTGAGAACATGGCACATAACGTTAATGCCAGGCAGGCCCGCGGGCTGAGAAAAGACTGCAGCTGCCCGTCACTCTTCCCAACCTCATCAGTCACTGCAAAGGCAGACGTGACGGCCCTGAGCTCCCTGGAAAAACCTGTTCGCTGACATCTCTTCTTTCTGTCACACAGCAGAGGGAAGCTGACTGACTGAATGACTGACTGAGACGGAAAATACGCCGAATGTCAGGCTGACTCACATTTGATGGAAAGGTGGGTGAAGAACACAGTATAGTGTGCTTTTCTTATTTCAGCTGTTGGTCCCTTTGTCAGTCACAAATGTGTTACCGCAGGGTTATATCAACAGGTAAGCATGTACAAACAAATGTTTTCCACCTGTTTAAAGGGATGTTTATAGCTTATTTATGATAGAGATGACATAACCATTTCAACGTTTTTGCGCAGAATCATTGTGTGATCAAGTTGAGAAAGCCTAAAACATTGTAAGACTTCGATGGAACAAATATTTGGCTATTTTTGACAATTGTCATAACTTTACCAAAAGAACTTTACACAGCATTGAGGTAAGAAAGTGGGCATGCAGCAAAGGGCCACGTGGGACCCTAAACTTAAGGAGGTGGGGTGCTCTTATACAAATGCTCCAATGATCAACATTTTTGCAAGTGACTCTCAAAGTGTGAGCTGTAGAACAAGACTAATGCCCCTCAATGTAGGCGGGGGAATCAGCAGATTAGTGTAGTTCCGGCGCATGAAACTCCTGTGACATCATCCTTGAAGGGATATTCATTCAAAACCACAAAAGAAGAATGTCAAGTGTGTCTCTCTGACCAATCAGTGGTGAACAAACAAATAAACAGATCCTATTCACACTTTCTCAAATTGAACTTCAATGCTTACATCAGCATGCTAGTGTGCTTCTGGTGAACATTTAACAAGTTAATGAATACTAAACACAAAGTACACTCTAAAGTTGATTAGAATCCGAGTCCAACCTTGCCATCTCTAAAAGGTACAATGCTAGTAAGACAAATCCTTCCAAATGGCCCTGAATTCTTTTTTATTCCTCACACTTCACAAAAAATGAAGAACAATAATAACTGACTGAGGGAGTCTGGCAAACACCCTAAAACATGTCTTACTGTGGTGGCATCCTGCGGTAGTGTTAAGAATAGAAGTCAGCGCTACACAATGATACAACCAACCCCCCAAGGACCTGACCCTGAGACCATGCACTGTACTAATCAACACAGGGCTAGTTTCTAACCTTTCTTACAGTACACTATATTGTGTATGCTCACCCATACCTCGCATTTCATCCATGTCTTTCTGCTATCTCTTGCGCTGCATCTAAGAATGGACTAGTCATCTCTCTGGAGTACTTCTTCTTTTCTTCTTTGCATGTAACCCTCTGGAGCTCTGCTGTGTACCGTCCGAGTCAGAGGGCATGATCTATATCTGCCACCAGGGAGCACTATCCCTCTCTAATGGCTGCTAAACGGCCTTCCTCAGGAGGATAAGGGCCACATCGCAGACCAAATGGCACTTGTACATGTGCAATGTCTGGGCTGGCGTGGGCGGTGGAGGGGGTAAATATACTTAAAACACACTACGGCGCATATCAGTGCGGCAGCCTTGACTACAGTTACCACCAGAGAGTCCGACTCCTCCGCATTTCCCAGGCAAAAGGCCAAACACATTTACAACACTTCAAGTGTCTGCGACACAAGAACGCCCTCTCCGCTGTGAAATATGTAAATATTGCACTAATCAAAGGGTTGTGGAATCGCAAAATGCCACGGAAAGGTTATGACCCGGAGCCTGTGCTAATAGGGGTGTGAGGGAGGGGGGAGGAAGAGGAGGTGATGGAGGGAGGGCTGGGGGTTGAGTTGTGGTGGTGGTGAGGGGTGAGGAGTGACAGCTACCACAGGCATTTCTCCTGCCTGAGGAGGACCTTCACATGCTGACCTCCGCCTCCTGCACTCCTCCAACGCTCTGACAGTAATGAATAGGAAGGGGCTGTTTATGCATATCAAATGTTATTTACTCTCCCACAGTCAACTGTAGCCACAGAGGAAAGAAAGAGAGAGCAGCACAAAAACACAGGATATTCCCAAAGACCGTGGGGCTGCCATTAGAACAATGTGGACAAGAATGCAGAGGCCTCTGCGGTGCACTGAGGTTAATCTATCTATCGCAATGAATTACATGACATGGTTTTTTGTGTGGCTCGAGCTCCACTTGCTTCTAAAACGCTGCATTGTTCCCCGCCTTGATTCTTTTCCAGGATTGGAGTGCTTGACAGATACAGAGTACCTACATGAAAACAAGCCCGTGTGAGTACATAAGTGAACTTGACAATGAACTCCTCTTGATATCTAGCCCACATGATTATTTACTTCAACTATCTCCAGCTCCACGAAACTAAAGTCTATATCCAGTGACAGAATCGGGGGGATGTTAACATACATTCTAGTCATGTAATATATTTTTAAGCAGGATTAATTCTTCTCCACATTGACATGATTGG